AAAAAAATAATAAAAAATAGGGCCCAATTTACTGTGTTAATTTGAAGGAACTTTTCTTATCAATTTTGAATCACGAATTGCATTGTGTTTGTGTTTTAGGGTTAAAGGAAATGTATGGAAACAGATAATCCTGGCAGAAAATTATTTTTCCTTACAGTGGCAGTCATTAGAATTCTTAATTAGAACTCTTAATTCATGGTAACAGTGTAATTATTTGTTTTCATCCATGTCATATGTGTAGAGTGACATGATGGTGAGTAAATAATGGCATTTTCATTTTTGGGTGAACTATCCCTTTAAGTGCTATTTGGACATGATCTGTAATAGTGGTCGACCGATATATCACCAAGGCCGATAAGTTTTTGAAAAATGCCAAATATCGCATCGGCCGATAAGTTTTTCTGTTTGGCCGATGCTTTCGTGGCGGGACTTTTATTTTGACGGTGCGCTAATAACGGCAGTGCCTGAACAGACAGTGCCCACATTCTCCCTCTTGTTCGCTGTCGTCGTCAGTGTTGGGAGTAACGCTTTACAAAAGTAATGCATTACAGTAACTGATTATGTTTTGCTGTAACGCAGTAGTGTAAGGCATTACTAATCAATTTTCAGTAATATTTTACTCGGTACATGTTCAGTAACGCATGCGTTACAACACACTTTTAGCCCAAAATTTAATTGTTCAAAGAAAAAAAAACAGCAAGACCGCGAGACATTAACGAATCATAAATGCCGCAAGTAAGTTCTATTTCCTGTTCGTGGTCAGTCAATAGCTGCTGTGTGGTGTCCAAGTTTGTAAATAAAGACTAAAAGACAGCTTCTGATATATTTGTTTAGCGATTTATTTCATTCATCTCCCTCTCGCTGGTGAAACTTTGTATTGTGTGACGTAGTCCAGTGAAGGTGTGTTTAGGGCGGGTTTTACAGGAGTGCCGCGAGGCTACTGGTCTGACAGTGGAAACGCGGCATGATTTCCGCCTCTGTGCTCGATGTCCGAGGCTATTAGCCCCCCCCGGCTCGCTGTAAGCCCCGGTTCGCACTGGCCAGTGGAAAAGCGGCTAATGGGTGAAGATGGCAGAAGACTGTACATGCGTGAGATGGACGTATGTGCATCTTGTCATGGCATTAGAGTTTACATATAGTCCTATTGTGTCTAATATGAATAGACCCAAGCTATTCACAGATATTGCCAGATAATCACTTTACCTCTACCATACTTTTAACAGACTTGGATCGTTTGTGATTCTGGCTGTCATCCTTTCTTGC